GCACTCGCTCCGTCCGCCCGTCAGCTCGGGGCCCTGCGGTCTCCGCGCGTGGGGCTGGCGCGTCTCCCGGCTGTCCCGGGCCAGGGCACCTCTTTTTGGACCCGGCAGGCGGGGTCCGCTCACGCCCGTGCCACTTGACTCGTCCCCTCTGCTTCCCCCGCGTCACCTGGGGGCTGCGAGGTCCCGGACCCGCGGGGAAAGTGAGGTCGGGATCCTTTCCAAGTCGTCTCCCCTGCCGAGTCTGTCCCCCGGCTTAGGGCGGCGGAGGGAGGCCGGCGTCGGGTCGTCCTTCCTGCATCTGGATTCGCAGTCTTCCGAGTACCTCGCCCTCGGGGCGGCGGGGAAGCTGCGTGGGACACGTGGGGTTACCTTCTCCTCACCTGGCCGCACGCTGTGTTGCCCCGGGCAGGCGAGCTCCCGCCTGCACCCTAAGGACACTGCTCCGGAGGGGAGCGGCGGGCGGGGTTTGCTCACTTGGAGAGTGTTTGGCTTCACGATCCCCCAAAGTTCCCCAAAGCCGTGTGTCTAGTGGCCTCCCAGAAGTGGTTCGGGGTCGGTTTAACCGCTGAGGAGACTCGGGATGTTCCTGAACCCTTGTGATTGTTTCTTTCCTGACCCTGGCGTTCGCTCCTCCCCTTTCCACCCCGGCTTTGTGCTGGTGTTTGGTTAATGTTTGCGGACCACTAACTTGATCCTCGCTCAGAGCAGCTCCCTTTATGTGCGTGCTTCGGGTTCTGTGGGAGGCTTTTGTTTTGGGGAGTCGCTGGTTGTGAAACGTGGGAAAAGAACGGGCGAGAAAATGAGTCGAATAAAGCAACGTTTTTATCCATTGAATTACGCAGCCAATTGTAACCGCACCCGGAAGTTTGTGCCGAACACGTGTTGAGGGAAGGTGAAAAACGGGTCCCCTTTGACCTCTGAAAGTTGATTATTAGCAGTTCGTGTTGCGGCAAATGTTTCGTATTCTCCAGACAAGCCGAGTAAGAGATGGACTAGGGCTTCCGAAGAGTCTGCCTGCAGAGTCGGCGAGCTGTCAAACCCGAGTGCCCTAGCGGGAATCAGCTTAGCACTAGCAGACGATCCTCAGGCGAACAGTGCGGAGGGATCCTGTTCCTTCCTGTGTTTTCTTGCAGTGGGAATTCATTTCCATGAGCAGTGGGGGAAGCCGTCACCATCACACAAAAGATAGTTTAATCAGAATTTCTGGGCTGAAATGCAGAATTTGCTACTGGTGTACTAAGAGAGTAATTTTGCAAGCAAGGGAACTTTATTTCCCATCTTCTAGGAAGTTATTTCCAAAATGTTCTGAGTTTAGAAGTCTTCTTTACCTTTTTCCCTCTGGCTTCTGCTTTCTACCTCCTAACCTAACTTTATTCCATATAGTTCCCTGTAGAATTTTAAATAACAATTCGTTTTTACTCATCACTCATCATTAAATACTGCTACATCTCAGGCAGTTTAGTATGCTTTAAGGACTTTGCTGAAGCTACAGTATAGTAGTGCTATGATCCTTTTTGTGCTTTTGAAAGTGATTTGCTCAAAAACCTTAGCTACAGGTGTGTTTGGTTGTTACTTAGTATCTGCATTGAGTTTTGATTGGTCTTGCCACTCAGAAAGGATGAGGACAGTCAGATCTGGTCTCCCTGGGTAACCCAACTTTCCCTGAGGCTTTCTGGGTTCCTAGGCTTTGCCTGACTGCAGTTGGTGTAGAGAGAAGCTTTCTGAGAATTACTTTCATATGAAGTAGTTAATAACGGAAATGGTGAAATCCTAATTTTCTTTTCTTTTTTTTTTGTGTGTGAGATTTTTGATAAAGGGCTCATGCACTTGCCAGAGCCCGAAATCGAGAAACAACCCCCAGGGAGGATGGCTGCTCTGTCATCTTTTCTCTTCCATTCCCTTCTCAGGATCTTAAGCATGCATTTACATGCTCCTGGCATGAGTTTCAAGTTGATGGGTCCAGGACTTGAACTGTGGTCGACTTCATGGGAGTCCAGCTGTGTTACCCTTATACCATCAGCTAGTACCTGTTGTCTTTGTTTTCACATGCTGATTGACAGATCCACTTTGACAGACCTTGAACTTATCAAGTATTAAGGGCAGTCTTGAGATACCACTGACATTTCTGTATAGGGAAAGGATGGGGTGTGGAAGAATAGCAAGCCTACTGTGTGTAACGTATGGTTGAAGCCCGTGAAGGCCACCATTCCTTGGGAGCCAATCTGTAGATTAGAAGAGCAGTGCTTTTCAAACATTTGTATTGCCTTCCGCAGTAAGAAAATTGTTTTATTTTGCGGCCTAGTACGTAAAGAACCAGAAAATATTTCATACGACAATGTTTACTTTCTACATCCTCTGCATGGATTTTTCTCTTCTGTACAAAATATTTAAAAATGCTGGTTAATGGTGACACTAAATTGACACCCCACCCTGTATTGTGACCAGCAGTTTGAAGAAATACTGGTGGGCTAGCAGTATTTGTAGGTTTTGGGTTTTTTTTTTTTTTTTTTTTAAAGAATTACTCATTTAGGGACCAGCATTGGCATAATTGCTATATTGCTGGACTCCCATATAGTTGACCATGGTTTGAGTCCCAGACCTGGTGGCTTAAACTCATGCTGTGCACATTTGCGTGCGTGCCCAAGATTCCAAGAGAATGGAGAAGGGATTGTGGCGTGACCATCCCCCTGGGGGGAGAAATTTCTCGCTTTCTGTCTCTTTCTCTTTCTGACAAGCACATGTGCCCTGTAGCAAAAACCTCTCCAGAAAAGAATGAAAAAAAAGAATTATTCATTTAACTTTATTCATTCATTCATTTTAATTTGACAGGAGAGAAAAAGAGAAAGTGAGAAAGCAAGCGGTCAGGTCCAGGACTAAAACTGTGGTTGGCCATTGGGAGTGTCCAGCGTCTTAACCACCAGGCCACCTACTGGTCCTCTGTGGTGGTTTTTGTAGATAGTGTAGTGGTATTTGTCAATGATATTTGCAAATGGTGTAGTAGTTATGTCGCTGGACTCCCACGGTTAGAGTCCCAGACCTGGTAGCTTCAAAATCACGCTAGGTGCTTGTGTGTGGGTGTCTAAGATCCTGGGAAGAGAATGGAGAAGAGATTGCAGTGCGGCCATTCCCCGGGGGTGGGTGATTTTTTACTTCTCACTGTCTGTCCCTCCCCCTCACCCAGGCAAAACCTCTTAAAAAGGAGGCGGGGAGCAGGTGATGTTATAGTTAAGGCACTGTACTTCCATATGGCCAGCCACGGTTTGAGCCCTGGACCTGGCGGCTGGCTTTCCTACTTTCCCTCTCTGTCTCTCTCTGGTCAAATTAAAAAGTAATAATATGGGCCAGCAGATGACATAATGTTTATGGTGCTGGACTCCCACATAGTTGACTGGTTTGAGTCTCAGACCTCGTGGCTTAAAAAAACTCATGCCAGACACGCCAGATGTGCGTGCGTTCATGCCCAAGCTCCTGAGAGGCAAATGGAGAAAGGATTGTGGCATGGCCATCCCCCCCGGGGATGATTTCTTGCTTTCTGTCTCTCTGGTGAGTGCATACACCCTATAGCAAAAATCTCTCTTAAAAAAAAAAAGTAATAATAAAATAAAGTTAGGGGTCAGCAGGTGGCGTGGTGGTTGGGGGGTGCTGGACTTCCACATGGCCAATGGCAGTTCAAGTCCTGGACCTGGTGGCTTGCTTTCTTACTTTCCGTCTCTCTCATTCTCTCTCTCTCTGCCCCTTTCTGGTTAAATTAAAATAAATAAAAATAATAGGGACCAGCAGTTAGCATAATGGCTATGTTGCTGGACTCCCATGTAGTCGACCGCGGTTCGCGTCCCGGACCCGGTGGCTTAAAACTCACATTGGGTGCATGTGCGTGCATGCCCAAGATCCCGAGAGGAAACTGGAGGAGAAGGGATTGTGGCGTTGCCACACACACACACCCCCCGTGTGATTTCTCGCTTTCTGTCTCTGTCTGGCGAGCGCACACACCCTAAAGCAAAAACCTCTACAAACAAGTAAATAAATAAAAATAATAAAATAATTATTAAGGAAATGAAAATAATAAGTAATTCTTTTAAAAAATAAAAAAGAGGGAACTAGCAGTTAGCGTAATGGCTATGTCGCTGAACTCCCACGTAGTCAACCATGGTTCACGTCCCAGACCTGGTGGTTTGAAACTCACGCCGGGCGCATGATCCCAAGAGGAGAATGGAGGAGAACGGATTGCAGCGTGACAATTCCCCCTGGGGGAGTGATTTCTTGCTTTCTGTCTCTGTATTTCTCTTTGTCTGTCTGGCCAGCACATGCGCCCTATAGCAAAAACCTCTCAAAAAAAAAAAAAAAAGAAAAAAAAGAAGAAAAAGAAATGCTGCTAGGCTGTTGAGAGTATAAGATCTGGGAGGGAGATTTGCTGTCAGACCTCCTGAGTTTGTAATTATGCTCCAAGACTTCGTTGTTACTACTTTATTATACTTCCAGGCCTCAGTTTCTCATGTGTGACAAGTGGATAAGTAGTGTTTACTCATGCGTTATCTTGAGGGTTAGAAGAAAATCCAACCTTGACATTAGTTAGGTCTAGGAGGCTAGACATCTGAATTTGAGGTGGGAGAGATCAAGAAAGATTTTTCACACACCCCCCACTCTTTGTGTGCTGCCTTCATAAGGCATTTTTGAAACTTTGTATATCACTTCCACATTCTTTTGTGAATATGTTGTTCCTACAGATTTTGCAAGGATGGGGGGAGGGGCGCTTTTCCAAACAGTTGCTCCCTTAAGGGATAGGTGTTGAAAATGGAGACGGTTTTAGGTAAAGGAAATAGTTTTTACTAGGTTTTTTTTTTTTTTTTCAATTTTTTCCCCCGTTTTTTACCTTTATTCATGATAGAGCACATGTACATGTAAGAGAGAAGAGCACCCTTTTCTGGGGGTCTGGTCACAGCGGGATCCCCTTTCTCCAGTCTCTCTGTATATGTCAGGCTTACCGGGCCAGGAATTCGGCCGCAGTCACCATGTGGCTTCCAGCATTGAGAGCCTCTGTGCTACTGACTGCCAGAGTAGCTGGGCCTTAACTTTTTTTTAAAGAATTACTTAATTTAATTTATTTGTTTATTGAATCTGACTAGGGATAGACAGTGAGGAGGGGAGTCAGAAAGTTAGTCTGGGACTCGAACTGCGGTCAGCCATGTGGGAGACTAGCGCC